GTGCAGCAGCAGACTGGAAGCGATCCATGGTCACGGCTGGACACGTGTTTGGCGGGGCTCGCTTACATAACGGAGCAGGCTTTTCCTCTTTTACCCACCCTCTGCGTCTTTCAATTCCTTCAAATTGCCCTCTTCTTCCTCCCCTGCGTCTCCAACCCTTCCCCTGGCGTTTCCTCCTTGCTCTCTGTACGTGTCCAAACGATCCCGAGCTTCCCTTTCCTCGGTTTTCATCCGTCTCCGAACTCTTTCTGACGCTTTTCGATCTAAAAACTTTTGCTCCGTTGTGCCTTTACCCAGCTTGACGTATTTCGCTTAACGTTTGCAACTATCTTTCGGTGAAGAACAAGACAAAAAAACCAGAACTCAGTCCTTCCAGATACATATTCTCGAGAAAAAATGGCCGGCGCACGTGGATGCTTTAACTGTGGTGGATGTGCGTTGTCGTTGCATTGAATGTTCTTTTTTTATTTTATTGCTTTTATATCACCTTTTTGGCATTCTGTTATGCCTCATCTTTTGCCTTCCATCTCATCTTCGCAATCTCTCAATCTCCCATTGATTACATACGCGAGTCTCCTCGCGTCACCTTGTTTCACGAGGAAGGATAATCGTCAGATCGAAGACTCTAGACGACGGCCGGCGATTCCCATTTTCCTTGCCGTCGTTCCATTCAGTCCGGTGCCTTTCCTTTGGGACCGTTTTTGCTTATTTTCACTTTCCGTCTTCCTTTATTTCTCATTCCTTCTTTTCTATTCACATGTGAGTGTGTGTGGGTGTGGTGGGCTCTTGTTACCGAGTATGTCACATCTCGTGTCCTTCGATGACAACAAAACTCCATACACCGTCTCTCGCACCTCGCAAATAAAATATATTTATACCTTTTATAAACCTTCCCGTCTGCATACACGTGTCGCATTTGATACTCAAACTTGGAACTCTTCAGACGGACACCAAGCTGCTTCTTGCCCAAAGGCTGGAAGCCCAACATGGTAGGTATTCTTCTTTCCAATCACGCTCAATTTGACTCACAAGTCGATGTTTTGCGAATTCGATTCTTCAGCTACAACTGTGAGTTATTCTCGTAAGGATAAATTGGTGCTGGAGGTTGACGTATATCGCATAGGTGGTATGGAGGGACATGTCTCTCGTGATTGCACTTCCGAGGCCAAGCCCAAGACTTGCTACAAGTGCAACCAGGAGGGCCACATCGTGCGTTTTTCTGTCCAGCTTGAATGGCATCGGTGTAGTTGCTTACCAAATAATTCTAGTCCCGCGACTGCCCCGAGAGCACCACCCAGAGCAGCACCTTTAGCAGCGGAGGTGGTGGAGGAGGTTTCTCTTCCAGCCAAGAATGCTACCGTTGCGGCAAGACTGGTCACATTGCCCGTCAATGCCCCGATAGCACCCAAGGCGGAGGAGGAGGCTGGAACTCTGGCCCCGGCTACAATGCTTTCAGCGGAGGTTCAAAGACCTGGTATGGTTCTCGTGACTCGCCTTTCGGAGATGAAGATTGACGTGAGATTTGCGGTAGCTTTACCTGCGGAGGCGTAGGTCACTTGTCGCGCGATTGCGTGCAAGGTTCAAAATGCTACAACTGCTCTGGCTTCGTGAGTAGACCCGGCGACTTGATTTTTGTGTAGCGATGGTTGACATGGGCCTTCGTTCTAGGGCCATATCAGCAAGGACTGCCCCCAGCCCCAACGACGGGCCTGCTACACCTGTGGCTCCGAAGGGTAAGTGACAAGCATATTGTTGGCCGCCCAAGTGCCGTCTTCTGACATTTCGGAATTGTTTGTTCTAGCCACATCTCCCGTGACTGTCCTGGCACGAGCGGGGCGGCTGCTGAGGAGGCCACTTGAGCGTAGCTGTATTGCTTTCGATGTTTCTTGCTCTGTTTTTGATCTGTTCGTGTATTGCGTGAGCGTGTTGAGACCCTCGCTGATAGTGTACAGAGGGCATGTGCGAATATAGCCTAGTATATACTCTATTGAATGCTACACTGGCCTGCGAGTGTCTGGTAGTGTCCTGGCCCCGTCTGGGGTACAGCACGGCGAGTTCCGGGATGGTGCCGTCTGGAGCCGGGCCTGTGAGATTTGCGCGAATTGGGGATAGACGCCCAAGAGAGAACAGACGGGTTGCAGCGTATTAGCCTCTTCCTCCTCTCTCTTTCTTTATTCCCCTAGACATAATCCACCATGCAAGCTCTTCGCCTGGCGCGCCCCAGAGTTGCCCTCAGGCCAATCTCTGGTACTCGTTCCATCGCTGCTACCGCCAACGCGTCCCACACGGCGTCGCCATCCGCCAGCACTAGTTCCCAAGCCGCCATCCCTCTCTCCAACGTCGAGGCCCAGTGGGAGCGTCTCTCGTCTGATGAGCAGTATCAGGTCCACAGGCAACTTGAGGACATCCAGAAAAAGGACTGGAGGACACTCTCCATTGACGAGAAGAAGGCCGGTATGTGCGACCTGCTTTTTATCGCTTTTGAGTTTGGGCAAGCAATTGCATATCATATCCTGGTACACACTTTGCTTCCGCCACCCAGTTTCAATCCACAAATCAAACGACGGTTTAAGCACGCATACTCATGTATTTTCCTTTATTGCTCGCTTATCTTATAGCGTACTACGTTGCTTTCGGTCCTCATGGTCCCCGCAAACCTCACAGCAACCCTGGTGATGGCCTCAAAATCGCTGGCTCAGTAGTCGTCGCTATCGCTGCTGCTGGTCTCGTCTTCTTCGGTGTCAGGTCCCAAGGTAAGCATACACACCACTCGATCTCGACCGTATTTTCCAACGGTCGCTTCCCGCGTTCCACATTTGTTAACTCCGCACCTTCCCGATTTTTTCAGCCCCGCCACCACCCAAGACGATCAACAAGGAGTGGGAGGAGGCCGCGAACCAGCGTGCTATCGAGCAGAAGCTGGATCCCATCACTGGTCAGTATTTGTATTTACTGCCTCAAGTCGTATGATACTGAATAGCCTCGTTTTTCTTGATATCTTCTCGTGCTTGCAGGTATTGCGTCAGAAGGGTACTCTGGCACTGGCTTCGTTCAGCACAAATAGATGCATGCGTGCAAATAAAGCATCTGGACACTTCGACACTAATGGCGAAGCTTTTGCGAGCCTTTCGTTGGGTTGCAGGACGGAACTCTGGTCTATTACCTTATTGCGTAGCGTCACAACGAAGAATAATACACTTTCCCTGCTTTTGTGTCTGTTCCGTAATACAAGTTTTGGAAGGAAGCGAGTGGTTCGAACTGTCTGGCATGTGATATGACTCGTAAAGCGAAGGGAAGTCAACCTGGAAAGCTAGGTGTACAATTAACGTCTATAGACCCTTGTCTGTCTCCTTCGCCTTCTCATCTTTCTTCTCATCCTTCCCTGCCGTCTTCTCCTTTTCCTTCGTTTTGTCCTTCTCTTCCACCTGGCCGCCCTCCTCCTCGAACTCTGCTCGCCCAATAGTTGCCTTATTGTCCACCAGCGCATGCAATGCAATCACCGCCCGAATCAAACTACTCAGATATACCACCAACAGCTCATCATTCGTACTTGTCACGAAACTTGACGTCGTCTCTGGGTCATTCAAATCCGGAAGCAAGTTCAATGCGTCTTGTAGATGGTAGACAATTTGATGGTTCACGGGCATCTTGCCTGCAGCGACGTCTGCGAGATATTTTTGGATGTCAGATATCCGTGATTGGAGACCTCGAAGAGAGGCGAGTTGTTCAGAGACACGGGTGGCGAGAGTGGTTGTGGTGGAGTCTTTGATGTCGCGCAGGAGGTGCTCGACACCGATCTCTTCTGCTTCCTCTGCTTCGATGGCTGAGGGGACGTGAAGGAAAGTCTTACGGGTTTCGGTACCATCCTGGATAAAGAGAAACAACGTCAGTAGAGTTAAGTACAAGAGAAACTATAGAGAACGCACATCTTTGATTTCCTCCACGGCAAAGTAGGCATCTGTGGGGATGCCAACCGTATGCGGTCGGACATCCACAATGACCATAACCGGTCTCGCAATGTATCGTTTGAGCAAATCATTAATCTCCAAATCCGATGCTCGCAATTTCGGTCCAGTATGATACCATCCAATCATACGTTCTCTCGCTACACCCCACAATCATCCACAATAACAGAAGAAAAAGAACGCATTTTAAGAAATCAATAAAGCCACCCCGTACAATCAAACTAAACCTCACCTACCATTCACCTTCTTGAACATCTCCCACATGCCTTCAATGAAATTATGGTCCAAGAACCATGTCTTGCTGTCCTTCTCATCTTCTTCAAAGGGAATAGCAAACGAGTTGGCTACGTTGATGGATTTGCCATTGTCTTGGCCGAGGAGGATACCGATCACTCGTTTGTTGGCTGTTCGTGAGGCAACTCGGGCGTGGTGGTCTGTTACGGAGAGGAGGACAAGTGGGTGGACGACTGTTTACCAAGGAGGATTGCAACAGTTAGTTTGTTTTATTATAAGTCTGGAAGTGTTATGAGACGCACCAACGGTTGTACCCTCCAATGCCGTTAGCTATAGAGGACGAACGTAGTGAGCGGGGTCGCTAAAACTAAAGAAGTTGGTATTGCGACCTTACCTGTTCTGTTGTTGTTGCAACCATGATGCAGAATGTGGAATGACGGAGAAATGTAAGGGAGACGCGTAAGTACCTCGAATTCACCATGCATACGCGTCTCAAGCGCTCTGTTTGCTCATGTTGTTCAATACCTTCAAAAGCCTTGCCATAATAGGTAGGTGCCAGTAGTCCATGTGCACCATGTAGGTAGACTGTAGTACTTCACTATTGCAACACATATGTATAGCACGCACCAGATCACATACCGTCAAATCTTCAATACCAACACGTTTTGCCATTGTTTGAAAGAATATCCATGCTTTTAATTCAAGTCACTTGGAAAATTGGTATGATTGCCCAACTTGGAAGGGCAGTCTAAAATTATTGAAAAATTGTAGTATGATTAATATATTTTCCTCTGGGAGGAGGCATTAATGGGGTAGTGGTAACCTGGGTCGTTGCCATTTGACGTTATATCAGACGTTTCGACCCGCCGGGGGTTCGATTCCCTCTTAATGCATTCGAAGTTTTGCTATTTCTTTGAAGTTTTACATTGCTGGTGTTTACAGCTGAACATGTACAACATCAACATGATTGCGGCGCAAGAGATATTCGACTCCATCGTTGACTACCTCCATGACGACAAGGATGCACTTCGCTCGTGTTCGCTTGTCTCCAAATCGCTTCTGGACGCAAGTTATCATCACCTATTTGGTAACCTCGAGGTGAAGATCACCGATAACTTGACAACTCGTACTACCAAAAGACAATGTCAACTATGGGACGAGTTCTTCACCTTCATTACAAGTAATGCAAGAGCAGTGAAATATATCCGCCAGTTATGCATTGACATGGTGGATGCTCCAAGCATCCTGGAATATGAACCGAAAAGTTACAAAGACTTCCCAGCGGTACCTGTACAACACATTGTCCATATTCTCGACCATGCCCCTTCGTTGCGCCATCTCAACCTCTATCATTTACATATCATCCCCAAACCCATCAACGCGGAAGAGGAGAACCAAGATGCGAATGTTCACCGCCTACGCTCGCTCGCGTTATGCTGGTGTGTTTTCGATGATATATCCCTCAACCTCCCTGATTTTCTTCGCGTCACCAATGCTTGCAAAGTCACTTTGCACCACATACGATGTGCGACTCTTGCTTCTCAAAATAATCCGTACGGAGGACCACCGTCACTGTCGCCGTCGCCACCATCCCATCAGGATATTCTCCCTAACTACACACTACATATCCAGTGTCTACAAATCATAGGCGCATGTCGTCTTTTTCACTACACTCGTGATGACGAGGAACTGCTCAGTGCCATTCCTAGCTTAATGTCGCGGATCTATTCATCCCTTCGCGAATTCACACTGGTTGGTGCTTCCTGGCACGGTCCTAAGGATTTCAGTGAGTGTTTCCCGTCTGGACATGATCCCGTCTTCCTGATTACTTACATGTATTTGTAATCTCATAGGGACTGTGTCACGTTATTTTTCTTTGCAGAAAGCGCATAAGTTGCAATCAGCAGTGATATTCTGCGCGCTGGATGGGTATTCAAACACACCCCGAAGTGTGTTCGAAACCTGGGACCCATATGTGTCATTCCTTTCCTCACTTCCACCCTCCACTGAACATATTCGAATTGATGTCTTCCCAATCAACCAGACGAATATAGTACTCCCAGATATCACCGTTTCGCGTAACCTCTTACTCCACTTCCCGTCCCTTCGTCCGTTCACATTGCGATGTGCGCTAAATGGGCTGGAGTCCGGCGATGAGTCTGTTGGCACGATTTCTAGTCAAGGAACGGGTGTGGATAAGGACAACATTATGCGTGTTGAATATTGTCGTTTCGAGACTCTTTATCATGACTTAGGAGCACAGGTCGATTTTGATCATGTGGATAGGTTCAACAATCCCGACGATACCAGTTGGGCCTGAGGGTGCCTAGGGTAGTATCGCAAGTTACCTCAGGGTACCCTGTAATTCTGATCCTACGGCTTCTATTGCTTACTAGCTTCGTTTCCCTTTTTGGATTCATATTTATACTCCCCAAACGCCCTCGTCTTATGTATCAAAACTATGCCATACTTTGAGTCCTTCCAGACAAACATGAGCTGTTCTCAACCGTGCGCTAGTTGCAACGTGTTTGCCTATCTTTCCCCAAACTATCGCCACAACATCATGTCCAGACTGTCCGGCCCTGCTCTCTCACAAGAATTACCCGACTACATTATCGACTACTTGCGTCAAGACTATTGTACCCTCCGAACATGCGCCCTTGCATCGAAATGCCCTGTAGATGCAAGTCGTCATCACCGGTTCGGGGCTATCAAAGTATTTGGGAAAGATAGCTATGGAAAACTCGAGAGCTTCATGCGTTTGATCCACGACGGGAGATTGGCGAGATACATCAGGCTGATACCATATACCTAGCCAATGCTGACATAGTGACTTTCAGCATCTAGTTTTCCAAAAAGCATATGGACGGGAGTCATGTTTAGTAATACCTTGTACCTGGACACTCGATCTCGCATCTTTCAGGACTCTATGCAACTACGTTTTGACCGAGCTCATGTAATTTGTTTACACTGCGCATGCTCTGCTGCTAATTAGCTACTACAGAGCATTGGCTCTTGCGTAGACGTATATAAGTAATGTGAACCGCTGATCACAGTGGCTAGTTATTTAGATTCCAATACGTTATGTCTTATTGGTGAGACAACTGACGGGAACGAGGCGGGATTGTTTCTAAATACGATACAATGAGGGTTATTCCACATTCAGCACAGTTACTAGAAGTCGAAAAGTAAATGTACGATATGAAACCGCTCGGACTTAACCAATGTTTATCTGTTCCAGAGTAACGAAATGATAGTATAATACAACAGAGGTTCAAGGATACAAATTGCTACAGATTATATTTTAGTCAGTGGGTTTCTACTGATGCAGAAGATCCAACTTGTTTGTCGCTGATATCGCCGCTTTCAGACTCGACGCAGTGATATCGACGTCGGTCGCGACACCCCAAGCAGAAGACCGTTTTCGGCCATCCAAGTCGTAAACTAACTCGACATACGAAACGGCTTTGACATCGGAACCTTCACCGATGGAGTGTTCGGCGTACTCTCGAACCGACAGGGTTCCTTGGATTTGAGAATTTAGAACTGTGACAACGGCAGACAAGGATCCGCTTCCTTGGCCAATGAGCTCGCGAGATTGACCATCCCAAATAAACTCTCCGGAAAGCTTCTTCTGGCCCTCCTCCTCGGTGTTCACCATCCTAAACTTCTTGAGTTGAATCCTAGCTAGCGAGGTGGCCTGCTCGAAGTTATATGTCTCCCGGAATAAGGTGATAAGATCTGAATACGACATCTCCCCTCCTGTCTCTCGTGAAGCACGTTGAACTTCTTCAAAGAACGAGGCCTGTAGACGGCGAGGGAGTTCGAGTTGCAAGGAGTTAAGGATAGCGGTAGCGACATCTGCTTGGCCCGACCTAGCGTTAAAACCGACGCTGAGCTTCAGTTCGGGAAGCTCGCGATCACCAATCGCACTGTTCACTGCGCTAAGTACTGCGCGCAAACCAGAACCAGCGATGTCTGAATCGACTCCGACACCCCACCATGACTCATTTGTCTTCCTGGCATCCTTGACGTCTTGACCACCCCGAACGATTTCAACATACGAAGCGGCCTTGACGTTCGATCCCTCACCAATAGCATGTTCGACATATTCACGAATGGTAAAGTCGGTGTCCAGGTGAGTTCGGAGAGCATCGAGGAGTGCAGACAGAGGTCCATTTCCATCTCCGCGAACAACCCTCAAAGCACCGTCGACAGTGATACTTCCATCGAATAGACGACGCTCATCAGCGGGCTCCCCATCGTGTCCAGCATCGTCAGAGACAGGTTCGGACGAAATCTTGAACGATTTCAGGGCCAACCTACCCTCATACTTGCTGCCGCCGAAGTGGTATGTCTCCCTGAAAGCACCAGTGATGTCATCTGGACGCATTTCGCGAGCTTCTCTGTCCGCAACAGCCTGAACGACTTGATAAAATGAGACTTGCATTTTCCGAGGCATGTCCAAGCCGAGATGTTGTTGGACCAGGTAGGCGATACCTCCCTTGCCAGATTGAGCATTGACACGGATGACTGCCTCGTATGTGCAACCGATATCCGCAGGGTCGATGGGAAGGTAGGGAATATCCCAATATTGGAGCTCCCCTGTCTTAGCGGCCTCTGCATGTCGAATGCGCTGAGCTTCAAAGCCCTTCTTGATGGCATCTTGGTGTGAGCCAGAGAAAGCGGTGAAGACGAGTTCCCCAGCGTAAGGGTGACGAGGGTGAATAGGAAGTTCGTTACAGGCGGTGACGACGTCGACGACGCTTTGGAGATCACTGAAGTCAAGATTAGGCGGGATGCCTTGTGAGTAGAAATTCAGAGCGACATTGACTATGTCAACGTTTCCTGTGCGCTCGCCGTTTCCAAATAGACAGCCCTCGACTCGGTCGGCTCCAGCCATCAGAGCAAGTTCAGTGGCAGCCATTCCCTGACCTGAGATACCGATTAACATTGACCTGCAAATGAATTGTGTTCTGAACGTACCTCGATCATTGTGTGGATGCAGACTAATGGCAATCTTCTCACGTTCCGAAATATGTCGACAGAAATATTCCACCTAGAGAGATACTTCATGAGTGAGGGTGAACAAAATATAGCGTAAAAACTAACCTGATCCGCGTAGTGATTAGGGGGAGCAATTTCGACAGTAGCAGGCAAGTTAAAAATGATTCGCTCATCCCCGAGACCTGCCTTACCCCATGCAGTTTTTACGGCTTCACAAACTTCGAGAGCAAAGTCTGGTTCAGTTTGGGAGAAAGTTTCTGGGCTGTACTCGAACTTGAATTTTGTTCCGTATTTCTCGGTATACTCGTCCGCTAGTTGACGAACAATTTTGGTGTGTTTGATGGCAAGGGCAACGGTCTCTGCTTGAGAATTTCGGAAGACAACGTCGCGGAAACAGGGGCAGGTCGCATTGTACATATGCAGGATAGCATGCTTAGTACCGGCCAGAGATTCGAATGTTCTTCTTATGAGATCTTCTCTCGCGGGAGTGAGTACCTGAGCTCAACATGCTTTCAGCACTCAATTCGAGACAGTGTTACTAAAATATTAGCATGGAGATCCACTAACCTGTATCCAGACATCATCAGGGATTTTGTTGCCTTCGATTAGCCCTCGTACAAAAGCGAAGTCTGTATCACTAGCAGCTGGGTATGCAACCTCGATCTCTTTGAAACCGCATTTAAGCAAGGTATCGAAGAAGATGGACTTTTGTGCAATAGTCATTGGATTAGCGAGAGCTTGGTTGCCATCTCGCAAGTCTGTTGACAGCCAAATGGGTGCTTTCCTGACAACTTTGGATGGCCATTGTCTGTCAGGAAGATTCATCGGTGTGTACGGTCTGTACTTTTTGGAGGGATCAGCACTGTCAAAGACATGATGAGTTATT